GCATCACGGCATCACGCAGGGGCACCTTGGGCCTGTCGGGGGCATCACGGGCCTGTTGGGGGCACTTTAGGCTTGTCAGGGGCACCACAGTCCTGTCAGGTCCCAGGGGCATCAGCAGCCTAGCAGGGGCACCCTAGGCCCGCCAGAGGCACCACAGGCCTGCCAGGGTCCAGGGGCACCACAGACCTACCAAGGGCACCACGGGTCTGTCAGGGGCACCTCAGGCTCCCGTGCCCCCCCCCCCCCCGGATCCGCCAGTGATGCCACACCACGCGAAACACCGCCAACTCCCAGCTACCGCGCCATAAACACGTGCCAACAAGTCTTTTTTGAAGGTCGACTCCGCTCGCGCAACTTTTGACTGACCCTCACTGCTACCATATTGCTTCCATATTATGCTGTGGAAAGCTTTACTTCACCAAGTGGCTAAAAACCTTCATCAAGGTATATTTTCTTAGCAATTTTTCTTACGTTTTGGGGGGGGCCAAACAGGCCACTTTAGGCCTTTGGGGGGGGCCATGGCCCCCGTGGCCCCCCCCCCCTGGATCCGCCAGTGTTCCCAACAGCCAGTTTACATGTCACTTGACAGTTGATGCATCCACATCCTTTTGTTTCACACCCTGTCAAGATTCTGACATGAAATCCTGGTTTATCAGTTGGCATACAAATTGGCATTACACCATTTTGCAAATATACTTCGGTTATTTATTTCCTTTTTTTCTCATCCTAGGATTTTTTCTTCATCAGCACACCCAACCAAAATCCAATTTTAGAACACTGCCCCATCCTCAGATTTGTACAAACGCGTTTGTGACCACCCTAACCTGTCCATCCCCGTCTTTGGATTTGCGTAGATACCTGATTTTCCCCTCCCGCTCCCATCTCCCAGAAATTCAGAATTGCTTAGACGTATTTCTGACTGTCGTCTTTCCCCGTCAGATCTGCGTGGACGCCGTTCTGGCGATCCGCCCTCCGTCCGGTCAGGTGGACCTCCACATGATCGAGCTGATGGAGATGCAGCACCGCTCGGAGAGCGACAGTCAGCTGGTGCGGGGCATCGTCATGGACCACGGCGCCCGCCACCCGGACATGCCGAAACGCACAGAGAACGCCTACATCCTCACCTGCAACGTCAGCATGGAGTATGAGAAAACGTGAGTCTGATGTTAACGAGTTGACCTATCAATTATCATGGAAGCGAGAATTGAGAAAGGGAACATCAATTCTGCTCAGTGCTCCAGCTTCCCTTCGGATCGCCGCCAACTCTTACGCTAGTTAGCTATCTAATCTATGAAGTCGTTCATAAAGGGCTTTCCTGTCCAGCTTCCCGTGTTTGGCTATTTTCCCTGGTTATCGTGCCAGTGATCGTCTGTGGACCGTGGCTCTTTTGTAACCGTGACGTTCTAGAGATCTACAGTAGAACCTACCCTCTACCCTAAGCTATACTCCCCTCAAGGGGTTTCCATTTATACCAGAGACTCTTGGCTCATCGTACAGGCAATTTAGCAGCGCTCTTACTCGCTATCCTCGTAGCGAGTAAACCAAAACTCGTAAAACCATTAACTGGTAAAACTAAACCATTAACTGACACGACCCTCATCTTTTTTTAATTTAGATAAAATATTACGATAATATGCTACTTAACATTTTCTAAATCTCCCAATTTACCGTGCCCTTCCCCCCGACAGTGAGGTCAACTCTGGTTTCTTCTACAAGACCGCCGAGGAGCGTGAGAAGCTGGTGAAGGCTGAGCGAGAGTTCATTGACAACCGCGTGCGCAAGGTCATCGAGCTGAAGAAGAAGCTGTGTGACGGCACCAACAAGGGCTTCGTCGTCATCAACCAGAAGGGTGAGTGCCAGAGACACGTGTCAGCACGAATAGTTAGTGAGTTACCTAGTCTTCCTGAGCACAGCATAGAACTATGTAGTGCCGAGCTGCCAACTGTCTGTCAGTTTCGTTTTTAGTTTCAATGTGTTACGATGCAATTAGTATTACGTTGGCATCATGAAAGCTTTATAGTTTATTGCATCTCTCTTTCACCTGACAGTCGATGACATGCACCATTTTTTTATGAGGTTATCGGTGGAGCCAACAAAAATGTGCGCTGGCATCGCTGCCCAGCAGCTGGCTCTCACCTTTCATCTCTCTACTCCTTCCCCCTTGACAGGAATCGACCCCGTGTCCCTGGACATGCTGGCGCGCGCCGGAATTGTCGCTCTGCGCCGCGCCAAGCGCCGCAACATGGAGCGTCTGGCTCTGGCCTGCGGCGGCATGGCCATGAACTGTCTGGACGATCTGTCGGAGGACTGTCTCGGATACGCCGGAGTTGTCTACGAACATGTGCTGGTGAGTGGCGAGGAGAGTGTCGGAGTGGTGAAGAGTTGGTGCTGAATTGGTGCTGAGTTTGGGCTGAGTTGGTGTCGACTTGGTGTCGAGGTCGTGACAAGAGTTAGGAGAAGTGGTGTATGATGGGGTAAGATCTTGATTTCAGGGTGGTTCAAACTTGTTGCCTTCGAGTTCAAACCTGTTGCAAGCTTAACATTCTTTGTGTGCGCGTTTCCGCAGGGCGAGCAGAAGTTCACGTTCGTCGAGGAGTGCAAGAACCCGCAGTCGGTGACGATTCTGACCAGGGCGCCCAACAAGTATACCCTCGAACAGTTCAAGGTGGGTTGGAGGCTACAAACTGTAGCCTGGCTAGCTGTCGCAGGGTGTTTTTTTGTGAGGGTGGTGGAGCTTCGTTTGTGGCAAATCGTAACAAATGCTCCTAATATGCGGTGATTTCTACCGCAAGTTTGTCTGTAACAGGTAAAGGAAAGTGCTCGTGCACGCAAGACGCAGAACTCTGCCTCATGGTGACAACATAGTATAATGATAAGTCACCATTTGCTTAAAATCCAAGTAGAAATCGTTATCGTGAACACCGTCAGCACCTCATACGCTTCGAAACCGCATCGACGTTAAATATCACCATCCAGGTCCTCTTCCAAAATGAGTATGGACCTCCTACAACGCATAACTTCCCCCTCCCCCCAACAGGACGCCATCCGTGACGGCCTGCGCGCCATCAAGAACGCCATCGATGACGGCTCGGTGGTGCCCGGCGCCGGCGCGTTCGAGGTGGCCGCGCACGCGGCGCTGATGAAGTATCGCCAGGAGGTGCGCGGCAGAGCCCGGCTCGGCGTGCAGGCCTTCGCTGATGCGCTGCTCATCATCCCCAAAACACTGGCAGTGAACGCCGGATATGATGCTCAGGTTAGTGTGAGTGGGAAGGGGAGGGAGGGATGGAAGGTAAGTTTGGGGGAAGGGAAGAGGAGACTGGGACATTTTGCCCTGAGGGGAGGAGAGGGAAAGGAGGGCTAGAGTGGAGGAAGAAAGAGAGCACTTACGAGAGTAATTAGTGGGAGAGGCGGAAAGGTGGAAGGATTGGAGTGAAAAAAGGAAAACGAATGTGATGGGAGCGAAGACAAAACGTGGATGGAGAGGCGCCATGAGTGTCGATCTGGAAACATATTATGCCTCATGTCTGATTACCTGGTTGTGATTAGCCACCAAACAGCGCGGCATTGAGCGAAATCACCTGACACTTGTGTAGTGTAACCTGCCGTCACTTCACGCTTACCCCCCCCCCCCCCATATTTCCAGGACACGATTGTGAAGCTGCAGGAGGAGTACGCGGCGGCCGGCGTGCCGGTCGGTATCGACATCGCCAGCGGCGAGGCCCTGGTGCCGGCCGACGCCGGCATCCTCGATAACTACTGCGTCAAACACCAGATGATCAACTCCTGGTGGGTTGACAGATAAGGGGAGAAAGGGGGAGGGTGGCAGAAATTGTTTTTAAATAAACTGTCATGGTTCCTTTAAAACGAAGTAACTCGCATTTTGTGCGTGTTGATCGCGGAGTCGCACATTGCATTACAATTTGCAGCTTACAAAATGTCTATTCGCTCTACATTCGTTAAACTTCCGTTTCGTCCCTCAATGGTTTTTATCGTTGATCACGCGTTGCTGGTCATCGTTACCTCACTGCTGAGTACTGACACCTGATTGGCTCGTTTTTCAGCTCGGTGATCGCCGGCAACCTCCTATTGGTGGACGAGATCATGCGTGCCGGCCTCTCATCCCTCAAAGGCTGAGCGCGCTCGTGCCTTACGACTCGGCCCTCCTCCCTCAAGAGGATACACCGTGCACCGTGATCCGCCGCGTTCTAATGATTTCCCTGACTTGTTCACCACTAGGCTTGTGCAACATTAATGCTCTTCGTTCAGTGTTTCGTGTAACATGTGATCGTCAATCGCAGAACCGTCACAATAAAATCAGCTAATGAAATGTGGTTATTTATGAGGGAACATGCCCCTGGTACGTATCACTCAGGATTGTGTCCTGCAACCTAGTGGATCTTCGTCGAAGAATGTGGAAACATCGATGTTTTGAGTTTTAGAATTTGTCTGTTGGCAGTTGGAACCAGGGGGATGTCACTACTTTGCTTCGCCATAGGTCCAGCACTGATGTCATTGGTTTCGGACCCGGTGACGTCAGTGCTGGCTACATCCGGGAACTTCTTGCACTTGGTTCTCATTAGAGGTGGCCATATTGTTTTGTCTCGTGACGACACATTTGCGTCATCGGGATCGAAACTGGCTGTAAACAAATCGCTCAGTGTCGCTACCTACTATATATATGGCCTTGGTTGGAACCAGGGTATATTGAGTGGTTGGAACATTGATTTACGCCGCTACAATCTGCATACTACTACGTTGATCCATTCCATTTTACTCAAAATCAAGAGGGTAAGACTAAGGACACATAGCAACATATTTTGCATTGATTGAAAAAAAACATTCGGTTTGCGTGTAAGCCAAGCTGGACTTCATTATTTCATTCAATCATCGCTATAAGGAACGCTTCGTGTCAAAATTGCTAAAAGAGTGAAGGAAAGGGTTGCTGGGGCATTTGGAAGCAATAGTCCTTTGCGACAAAAACGGCGTGGCAGTTTCATTCGTGGTCAGCGGACTTTCCCGTGTTGACGTTTTGTATTGCTGTAGTGTGTCCCTTCGAGGTGTAATTTGATATTTTTTAGAGTAACGTTTATATTTTAAAGCAATATTTTATGGGTAAGAGCGTCCGTGCAAATTGTTGTCGAATCCTTGCTCCAAGTAACTACGCCCAAACAGCATCTCACGGCTAATCAGCAATGGGGCTAAGCACTGGAGAAGATTCATCGAAACAAGAGGGTCTGGAAGATTTAAAATCTAATTTAGAGATGTATTTAGATCACTTAAATGAAGCAAAAGTGCAGGTGAGTTGTTTTTTATTAATGTGATCAATGATCATATCAATTGCCAGCTGCAGTGGCAATGGTTTTATGTCATTCGAAAACCTACCGAGAATTGCTGAAGGCTTGGGAGATTTCAATTGTGTTATTGTGAGGCGTGAGCACTGTTATTTGAGTTAATATAATTTCTCCATTCAACAATCACAGATTCAGTCCAGTGCGGACCAGACAGAGGCTGCCCTGGAGTCGGCCATGGCTGCAGTTTTACAACAGGTGTCAGCGGCCCTGGATGAACGGAAGGCACAACTTATGAAGGAGGTGGCAGATGTGAAAAATACTGCTCTGAAGCAGGCTGAGAGCTGCAGGTAAAATTTCTGGTGAATGCTTCATAATCAAATGCTGCTTTGACATGACTGTTGATGGAATAGCCTAAAAGACATTTATATATGGACTGTCAACATATCATAGGCTCCACTTCACTCTCACCACGTCTTATTCCAGTCGACTGGCTCAAGAGCACCTGCAGAGGACAGAGGAACTGCTTGGGTCCCTCCAGTCAGGAGATTCACTAGAGGCTAAGCAAATGACTGCTGAAGCCATTGAGGAGCTGTAAGTGTGTTAAATGGGCAAGATGCACATTTGTATATTGTCAGTGACAAGATTGTCATTAGAGAGCTTTTTGAATTATCTTTTTCTAATTTTTGTCTCAAGATTTATTATTTTACTCATAAGTCATTGAATACCTTAGGCTTGTTTTTTTGACATGTTTTTCTCTCTAACAATGCGTTCCAAGGGTTTTGTTTAATAGAAAATAGGGAGATGCTGTATCAACTCTCCACTCCACCCAAGGCTATAGAACTGACTCCACCCTTATCGCAGGGCGTCCCAGCTGCCGGCTCCGTCCTCGCTGCCCCGGCCGGCGCTGCAGCTGCCCTCCTCCGGCGCGGTGCTGGCCGCCGTCCGACAGCTGGGCAGAGTGGAGAGCACGGTGACGGTGGCAGGGGTGAGGACAGAGCCGCGGCCCGGCGCCGTGCTGGTCTCCTGGGGAACGGTGAGAGGAGGAGAGGGAAGAGGGAGAAGGAGGGGAGAGAGGATGGATTGAGTGAAGGAATGGTGGGATGTTCTGTGCAAGGCTGCAGAGTCGATGGATTTTTGGTGGCTTTGACTCCTAGTAGTCGCAGTCTCCGACTCTGGCTTCAAAAATCGACTTCGACTCCGACTTTACAGCCCTGGATCACTGTGCTGTAATCTGGGGATAAATGAGTGATTTGGGGGTGAGGAGTTTTAACCATGACTTGTTATATTGGGAGCAAAACACCATGAGTCAATAATGACATGCATCTCCATGTTCTGGATATTATGCCTACATTCTGTCGTCCCCAGTATGAGGACGACTGTGACCCGAGTGAAGGGGACGGCTCATACCGTCTCCAGTACTGCTACGGAGACGCCAACAAACAGACTTCGCCCGTCTTCCATACGGCCTATGAAGGTCAGCTGATAGTGATGTGATGACTGTGTTGGGCCTTGTTTGTATGGTGTCTCATAGAATGATTTCTGTAGATATATTGGACAGGTATGTAGTAAAGAGCAAGTAGCATACGGATATATTCAAGTAGCATATTTATATGTAATTGCTACTTGAATATATTCGTATGCTACTTGCTCTTTATTACAGAATGATTTCTGTCACTGCTTTAGCCGTTGCTGGTTTTTTCACGCTATATCTGGCTACTCGTCATCTTATTACTGGTTACTTTAGGTCAAGTTCTTGGCCTTTCCATCTGGGTAGGTACTTTCAAATGCACCCTCGACATTGGTCCAGTCATCTCCTTGCCATTGGTCAATGACAGCCCCCCCCCCCCGTGGCAACAGGTCCGGAGACGAGCACGCTGGTTCGTCGTCTGCAGTGTGACGTCATCTATAGTTTCCGCGTCAGCCGCCAGGTGTCGGCCGGGGGAGCGTGGGGCGGCTGGAGCCCTCCCGTCACCGGTGCCACCACGTTGCCCCACTACGGTAATTGAACAATGAACAGAGAGAGGGAGGTCAGAGGGACAGCGACACAGTAAAAAAAAAAAAAAAAAATTGATACTAGTCCGGGTAGTCTTGATCTCGGTTATGCTCACACTACTTTGCCTTGCGATTGCTTCAAGTACGCTCATTCCTCCCGTCTTCTTTCAGAGTGGTCGCCCAGTCCCGCCTACTCGATAACAGACTCGGGCCGTATCGCCTGCCGTACCGGCGACGGTGGCGACACCTATACAGGTGGTGACAGCGTCATCTACAGTGCGGGCGCGCAGTTACGGCCGGGCGCCGCTCTGCGGGTAGCTGTAGTGGAGGCCGGGTCCGGCTGCAGTGATGAGGGCCTGGCGCTGCTGGATGGACGGCCGGACCAGGGAGAGGATGGCGCTCTTATAGGGAAAGGAGCTCTGTTCGTCAGCGCTACTGGTACGTCACGTAGTTAATCATGTTACGATCCGCCTCTAAGAGTTGTCTGTAAGCCTATTCCTCTGTCTAGAGTGATTCAGAAGGCTTCGAGCTTCATGTTTGTTTGGTATAATAAGGCCATAGGATTCTAACGACATTTTCGTCTTAACTGACCTCATCATAAGTTTGCATGACTGAAACAGACACTCAGAAAGTCTCGAGTCACAGACCTCGCATAGCTTCTCACCAGGCCGCTCACCGACCAGCTCCACTCAAACTCACAGTTCACTGCCCCTCTCACCCCCGTTTCTCACCCCTCTCTCTCACACACAGGTGAGGTGTACGTGAACGGTCGGCGGCGTCAGATGCGTCTTCCCCCGCTACAGGCCGGCTCCTACCTCACCTTCAGCACTGAGAGGAGGGACCAGCAGACCACGCGGGTCTGTCTGGAGACCGGCGACAAACAGGTAGGACCATGGGACCATGCAGACCAGAAACCAGGAGACCACCAGGGTCTGCCTGGAGACCGGCGAGAAACAGACGAGACGACAGACAGTAGGGACGGACAACAGACTGTACAGTGGGACCAAATGATTCTAGGACAATTAAACCACGCAGTTGTGAGTTGGAAAATATTTACAGCCTTATTTGAGTGTGGAACCAGGATGTATTTCTGTACCTAAACAATTCAGTTGAACCATTCAACATTTCAAAATTGTTGAATTAAGTTGAATTAAGTTGAATTAAATGAGTCATATGATAAGATATCACCCAACGGCAGTCGTCCCAAGCCCCGACAGTTTGATCTCGTTATAACAGCTGTACCTCCCATCTCCTTTCGATAGGTGGTTTACGACTGGAAAACCGAGTCGACCGATCTATGGCTGGCAGCTTCATTTAACGAGCTCGGCTGGAAACTAATGCTCGAGTGACGTCATTGGTCACCGGTTAGTGACGTCAGTGGATCACATCGCTCGCTGATTGGACGCAGGTGATGTGACGTCATATGTTGGATCTGGGGTGATATGTGGATGACGAATTGGGTGAATGAAAGTGGAGACAATATCGCAGAAGATTGAAAACTATGAAGTCGTGCTGCCGTGAGAACGGGAGATCTGACAATTATCATTCACCGCTGAATAGCGGACTACAGAGGTCTATGAAACTACGAATTGAGCTGACGTCATGCATCTGTGCCTAGATCTGTATCGTGATACTGCAGTGCCAAATCAATGTCGTAGCAACTTTTGGTGTAGCGAATTTCATTTCACCACGCCTGATATTTATATTGAGCTTATAATTGGCATCGGGAAACAGCACAATTCTCATATTTTGCTAGACATGAAAGGCAAGATCGGTCTCCATACACGAAGCTAGTGGTACCGTACCCTCGTCATACATTGATGAGAATGTGCATGCGATTGAGGTGTTCGATTTCGTGAGAGGTTCACATCCTCACCGGTCCCTCAGCTGTGATTGGAGGTTGTCTTGTCAGCGGTCTGTTTTGTAATAATCGCTGGGTTGCCCAGTAAAGTGCCATGCTGTAATGCTAATTGTAGATATATTTGCAAAGTAAACGCTCAACACAAACGGTTTTCCGCCCAATGCGTCCATAGTCAGCCTTTATTGCCTGTTTACTTGCATATTTTGTGCAGTCACAAATACGCGTTATCTGAGGGTGACTTTTGCCGTGGTTTGCCAGTAAAAACGCGTGTGTTTATGAAGTTACGTAACATCCAATTAAGCATCGCTTTGGCGTTGAGTCTGTGCCTTTACTTACCCTCACCGGTTTGGATTATTCCGACGCTGTCGGAGTTGATTTGCACTGTTAGCTTGTCAGGCCTTTACGATAAAATCGGGAAAGTAGTGCCAAATTGCAACCAAACTATAAACCAAAGGCTGTGCACGGCATTGCGTAGTGCATATAGTTGGGCAATAACATTCTCCATATTACTACTCTTATTTAACACTTGCTTATGTACCAGTATAGCGCCTTTTGGGGCGACTAACGGAGCGAGCGAGGGGGTGACTCTTGCACGTGCGAAATTTTGAGGGGGTACCTCCAACTGACTTGTGCACGGCACCCTACTGACCGGTTTCTAGCGATGTGCCAAATTTGAGCACAATCGGCCCAGCCGTTCTCGAGATCTGGGAGCGGCACCCTGCACGTGCGCACGTGCAAAATGGGTCCCAACTGACTTGTGCACGGCACCCTACTAACTGGTCCCTAACCGTGTACCAAATTTGAGGGCCATCGGTCCAGCCGTTCTCGAGATCTGGAAACGACCCCTGCACGTGCGCACGTGCAGCAGCACCCCAACTCTGGCACATGGATATGCAGTGCCTAGTGGGTGCCTACCTACATGCCAACTTTCAGCGCAATCGGCCAAGTAGTTACCGAGATATTGCAACAATTACAAAACTGACACCTCTTCGTTTTGCACGTGGCACGTGCATAAGGGGTCACCCACATGCATCGGGAATAGTCCAATACTTGGTAGAAGGAATGAAGCTACCCTACAAAAATTACCGCGTGTAAATCGGTCAAGTGGTTGCTGAGATATAAGCCTCGCAAAAGCGTCCGCACGGCCGGCCGGCCGGCCGGCCGCTCATACTCAGAAATTTCCGTTATTCTACGTAAGACTCCGCTCGCTTCGCTCGCTCCGTAATAATTTGTTCTGCTGTGATGTCGTAACCCACTGAGGCTTGCCCGTGTTTAGTGCAGTGATCTGATCTGGCCATCTGAAGCCAGGGGAAGGTGATACTACATAGTGATGCAGTGTTTAATATGGACTGTTGGGAGGGTTGTATCAGTTCAGAGTCGTCCCTCATCATCTACTGAGATACTTGTGAAAATGTCGATATTCTGTATCAACAACGAATACATATGGAACGATATATGCGGCAACGAGTTTTCATTGAACGTCATATGAAAACATATACACAAGGTGGCCGGCATGTGAGCACTGAGAGCACATCGCAAAATTAATCAATGCATGAAGCAACCGACGTGAAAGTTACGATGGTGGTATACATAATACATATACCTTAATATAACATGGCAAAGTTCGACACGATAAAACTCATTTTGTGACTATCTCCAATCCAAGCAATGGACAAGCTATTCCGCAGCACCAAAGTTGCCTTCCTAGCGCAACTACTGTAACGTTAAGATACTCGATAGATAAGCTTTCTTTCCACTCTTTCTCAAAATATCATCGATGAACTCAGGCACCTCACCTCTTTCAGTTTGCTCACTCCGGCATTGGCTCCTTATGTGTCCCCGCTCTCACCCCTCACTCCTCTGATTCTCTTTCTCTCACAATCTTTCCGCACCTTATCACACAGCTAAACGTTCCATAATCCTCCCGATTTTCAACGCCTTCGTCTTCACTCGTTCATCCTCCGCCGTTACCAAGTTTCCTACGGCCTCCGCCAGGGCGGCGCCACTGTCCGCGCCGGTCGGCCCCGCCTGCAGTAGACAGTCGAGTAGCACCAGCGCCCTCAGACGTGTGACGTCACTGGGACGAGTCAGCTGATCCACCAGCGCTGCCGTGACGTCACCACCGCCAGCGGCCGTCAGCCTGCGGGCGGAGAGGCCGCACGGTGATACCATGAATGGCGTGGCCAGAGCTTTTCGATGGGGGGGGGGGGCACGGTGGGTCCGCCCCCCCCCCCTGCAGATGGACCCCTCTGAATAAACGGTCTTAGAACTTAAGGGAAAAGTGGGAAATTGTGGAGTACAAATATGATGTGTTTGCCTGAGGAGTGTGCATATAATGCACGATATTTTAGAAGGTCTGGGTCTCGCAGCGCCAGAGATTGCTATTGTTGATGTATTTTTTTTTTTAACAGCAAATTGCAACGATCATTTGAGCCACGCTACTCACCAAAACTTTCTTCGTTTGGCGTTTGGAATACTTTCCACTGAGAATGTTCTCAGTTCTCAGTCCGGACGGGACGACCCTGTGTATCCTCTCCATGTATCAAACCACGTATCCCGTATCCACTATATGTATCCACTTGACGGACCCATGTATCCACTGTCGCCGGACGCAGCCAGGGTCGCTGCCACCGCCAGACTGTAGGGTGGCGGTGGCTGATTGTCAATGGCCGTCACGGAACTGTAGTCCGGCGGGGGAGTGTCACCCCCGCCACTCTCAGCTGAACTCAGGCCAGGTCGCCGGTCAGAGATGTCATTGCGCAGCAGTTTGGAGTAAATGACGTACACAATCACCACCAAAAAGACGAGACCCAGAACGGCACAAGCGAAGAAAATAGTGACTGTAGGTCCGGCAAATCCTAATGCAAACGTCACTCCTCCAACTACAATTCCATACAGTACACCACAGAGCACAGTTAGCACCGTTTTAACGTTGACTTGTCTCACGCTGGACACAATTCTAGCCCAGCACGAGTCTCCTGCTGTTTCTCCGCTGCCAGTGTCCTCGTCTCGGGGCTGGTGCAACTCGCCTGGGTCACCGACCTCTTGCCTCGCCGCAATTACCGTAGCCATTGGTCGGCCTCGTGGCACCAATGTATTACAGCTGAGGTGTTATCGATGTGGCTTTCTGCTAAAAGAGATGGCCCTGTTTGACTACAGTGTATCACCGCCGTATCACTAGTGTTTGTTCCATGAATTATATCCTCGGGTCGCTACAATTGTTCGCTGGCAGCGCAACTCATTCACCTTGTCATCAGTCATTTCTTTCTGCTTATTGTCCAGCTTTCGCAGTCCGGTTTCAGCTGGGTTCTTCAAACATGCTTTAAGCACCACCACCGTTTTATCGAACCAGTAGAGGAGCTATATCGAGCTATATCGAACCAGGAGCTATATCGATAAACGGTTATCTTTCTTCAGAGTGGTATCCGTTTGCCTTCTTGTGTAGCCGGTTTCATTATTTTAGCCACATGCCCACTAAATGGTCCAAGTTTTGGGACCACCATCATCTGCCCACTCCCCTTTGAGCACTGACCTCTGGCCACCGTCTTCTGACCAATGCCCTCTTACCACTTATCTTCAACCACTGTTCTGACCAGGGCTGCGGAGTCGATGGATTTTCGGCGACTCCGACTCCGACTCCGACTCCGGCTTTCAAAAACCAGCTCCGACTCCGACTCCGACTCCGGGCAGAATTGTCGACTCCGACCGACTCCAACTCCCGACTCCGACTCCGCAGACCTAGCAGGGCTGCGGAGTCGACAGGTTTTCGGTGACTCCGACTCCGACTCCGGCTCGGGTTTCTAAAATCGACTCCGACTCCGACTTCGACTCCGGTCACAACTGTCGACTCCGACCGACTCCGACTCCGACTCCGACTCCGCAGCCCTGGTTCTGACCACTATCTTCTGATCACTGAACTCTTGTGACGCTCCTTTGACCACAGCTGCCATCGGTCTGACCTGTGACCACCGTCTTCCTGTAAGTCAATCTACCGTCTGTTGCAACCTCCTATCGCCATCCACACTCCACAGCTCACCAGCCTGATCTCGTGCACAATCACTTCCTATCGGTCCGACACCAGATAGTCCCAGTGGGTATAGTGACGTATGTAACCATGTCTGACATGACAATACCCGAGTCAATGTAGAGCGCAGTATAACCCCCCCCCCCCCATCTGGCTCTCATCATGCTGCACCGCTATAAACACATGGCGAAGGCTCGCAGAGACAAAATATAAGGACGTCATTTCATAGCGTCCTAGAAAAGTCATTCCAGGCACTAAATAGTTCTTTCAGCCTAAAATTAGTTGGAAAAACAATAATACCAACATGGACGTCAGTGGTTATGATCAGGAACATCAGTGACTTTAATGGCATCAGTGATATCAGTGGCGGTGATGATTGGACAGTGATTTAGTGAGAGGCCAGAATTGAGAATGGGCACCGTTTTTACTTTTTATATTGGCCAGAGGAAAGCCAGTTGAAAGACTAAGCTGAGATGATAGTGTTCGGAAGAGCGTTGGCTGAGGACAGTGGTGAGACGACCGTCATCAATTAACTGCAGTCAGATGACGACCGTTAGGTTAGAATCCAGTGACATGGGGTCCTCACAGACGCCGTTATGGGCCCTCATAAACACTCGTGTGGGACCGTCACAGACGGGTGTGGGGCCCTTAGAGCTGCTGGCGCGAAACCTTTACAAGCCGGCTGGGGGCTCTCTGAGACCGGCAAAAGGCCCTCAGAATATGCTGGCAAGGGGCCCTCAGAGGCCAGCAAGGGGCCCTCAGACGCCGGCGTAGGGCCCTTATGGATATAAGCTTGACTACTTAGGAGCCCATGAGGTTCTTACGAGCCCTGTGGGGCCCTTCTGAGTCGAAATACGGCTTGTGTGTACCCCCAGCGGACATTAATGGCGTCGGGCCCCGAGGGTCCCGTCCCCCAGAACCCGATGGGGGGGGGGGGACGTGCAACCTGTGCCCCCTGGCTACGGCACTGACAATGACAAAGTCCCTTTTACCGTATCCGTAATGGTGTAACCGTTTTCCCACTGTATTCCTAGTCCGTATTCACGTCCCAGCAGCTATAGTTATCGTATCCCTTTTCACCGTAATCCTAATAACTGACTGCAGTTAATTTATCAGCGGGCCAACAGTAATGCAGTGAGCATACTGACAAACTGTTACCTGTCAGCCAGCTGGACGGCGTCCACCAGGGAGATATGGTGTCCGTGGTGGTCACTGCAGAACTGGCCGATGGCCACCACCTCGGGAGATACCGGAGACCTGCCGGGCGGGAGGAGGACCGACCGGGCAACTGGGTCAGATGACGAAAAACAACGACAAAAGGTGGATACACTGGATACAGAGGTAAGCGTTCATAAGACTAAGTTGAGATGGATACAGCAATGAGTGAATCAATGAATCAATCAATGAATGAATCCATGAATGAACGAATCAATGAGCGGAAGTATGAATGAATCAACCAGCACAGCAATTAATCAATGAACGTCTTCATACACTAACCGACTGGCTGATCCAATGAACGAAAAAAAATCAAATTAAAAACGAATAGGCCCCCAATCCGCACATCAATCCAATGACGTCAAACTGACCTGGCGGGAGCCTCGTCGGCGTCGTCGATGGCGGCGGCCACGTCGGAGCCGACGCTGACGTCATCCACATCAGCTGGCTCGTCGTCTGACTCCTCCCAGCCGCCGCCGGCCCGGCCCGGGATGTGGCCTGAGGGCAGGGCAGGGCAGGTCAGGTCTCGCTTATTCATTGGTGACGTAGGATTTGGCCGTGGGGTAGGTCAGGTCAGTAACTGACCTGACCTAAAACCGACAGCTGTTCTCGGTTTTACAGTGGTGATTTGGGACTGATAATTCTGGGAACGGGGATAAGGACTGAAAATCCTCGCACGCATCAGTAACTCGATATTTGACCCTGCTCTCAATGTCGCGCCGGGTTGGGTCACTATGTTAGTTCCGACACATAAAGGAGGTCTAGAGTCATGTGATTGATCTTGAGTGTGACAGAGTGTGGTAGAGTGTAGGTTGGTTAAATCAAAATATTACAGTGGCTTAGACTGTGCGATTGAGACATAATGCGATAAGATATACTAAATGATACAATACAGCTAGCCTGACGCCTTCCTCTCCTCAGCCTTACCTCTGGCTGGCGGCTGTCTGGCCTGCCGGGGTGGGGCCGCGCCCGCTCTGCGCAGCGGCACGGGCAGCTCCGGGCCGTCCACAGTCGTCGACAGGCGCGGTGGCGACTCGTACTGTCCGGCTGAGGTGGCGAACACGTCCGGAGCGGGCGGACCCGGGGACGGAGGGGAGAGCGCCTCCTCCATCAGACCCCGCAGTCGGGACGGCAGGCTGGCGCCGCCTGACAGGGAGGGAGCGGGGGATGAGGGGTGGGAGCACGAGAGAGGGGCGCTAGGAGAACAGAGCTCAAAATTGT